AGTGTTGCTGCTTTTTGATGGCCACAGAGATGTTGAGTTTGCGGTTCTTAATCAACAGATTGTCGCTCTCTTTCATCACTCGTTTGGCGTCCTCTTCGGTCTCGTATGTCACGAATCCATAGCTATTCAGGCAGACAATCAGTTCATACCATTCATTGGGGTTTCATAAATGTGATCATTGAAGGCATACCCGCGCGGAACGCCGGCCCTATCGTTGATAATCTTCACGGAGACAACGGTTCCGAACTGCGAGAACAGATTCTTCACCTCGCTTTCCTTTGCCTACCGATCGAGCGATCATTAAGACAAACGTTAAGACAATTCACTCAAACAAGTGGTAAATATAAGTAAAAAATAATACAAACATCGGTTGGAATTCCTCCGACAAACACACGGTTCGGAACTGATAGTCAAAGACAAGAATAAATGTGAGACAACCGGAAGAAGCAATACGTCACACGCGCGGATCAGCTCGTGGTGACGATCAACAACAGGACTGGTGGCCGATGTCATACCTGGAGTGCCATATTTGGGTGCATTCAACGAGTTCTTGTTGGTGTCCATCGACGGCGACACCGATGACGACTTCGTGGTGTCGATGACGGCCGCCGGCGACGGGTTCTGCGAGTCGTTGTTCATCGGCGAAGAAGAGGTGGTGGTCGGCGAGGAGGACGAGCTGGACATCTGCTGGCGATGGTTAGCGTCCGCCTAATCAACGACAACACAAGAGTGGACACATGTATACCACGAGTGGACACAACACCACAACACACACGATATGATCGACACATGTCTTGAGGCTAATGTCCGCCTCAAGATATGTGTCGATCAACTGTGTTATTAATACTCATATCATTGATACTAACCATCGATTTCCATACAAAAAGCAATGCTTGAGATCCGATGCGGTGATAGTGTTTGCGAAATGAGTGGAGTTTTGGTTTTTTGCGATAAAAAAACTAATAAACGATTAATTGATTTGAGAAATGATTGTATCGTTAAATACAACGGCTTTCAGTTCGCACTCATAATACGGTTAATGAATGTAATAATCAAATGCTATTCATATATGAAATCAAATG